AGCAAACTTGGTACACACTTAACATCCTCAAAATTATTGTCTAAGCTTTCCAACATGAGGTTATTTAACATCATCGCGATAACACTGTTCTCTTCTGTGTTTATGAGGTGTGGGGAGTAATACAGACAGATAGCAACAAACAAAATGTTATCAGTATGAGCTTGTGTAGTGTAGGTTGAAAACAACTAACTAAACGAAGCTGTGTAAAAAAAAAACTGGGTTAAACCCTATTGGCAAAGAAATACAAAACCGAAAATATGTATTGACCGGACACAAATAGCTCAAAGCAGCTACATATATCACAAGACATGTCTATTGGGATCCTTGGTGTAAGTGAACGGTGCTTAGTCCAAAAAAAAATATAACAGAGAAGATAAATTGTTAATGAAGTACAAACTTCTGCAACGCCATGAGCCAAAGTAAAGAGAAATCGTGATCACATCCCACAAAAAGGGGCACACAAGAATTATAATAGGACTAGTAACTCACAGAGCTGGTTCATGTAAACATGCCTTGATTCAAGAATCTGCAGATTCTATAAAAACTAAATACAACTGTCAACAAAACGGTAAACTGCTTTTAGTTGTTGAAAAAAAATAAACCGGGAGTGGTCTCCCTTAAACTTTCTCGAATATTCTTATATTAAACAACAGGGGATGGGAACTCGGGATATAGATATGATTTTTAATCCATTTTTTACAAGCTGTCGACAGTCTGTCTGTCGTCAGTCTAGATGGAAACGCAAGAGTGAAAATTCGGACAGTTCTACTTGACCGATACGATTCACAGTTGGCACGTGGGTCAAGACATGAAGACAATGCAATCTGAAACTAAATTTGACTTAACTGGATGCCTAATTAATTTTTTATTAATTAATTAAAATTTGGACCGAATCAATAGGCATGTCTATCGAACCACACCACACGCGTCATCACGTTCAATAACTGCGCCATCACCTTCAGTAGGCACGCCATCACGTTCAGTAGGCGCGCAATGGTTTTTAGTCATGTAACTCTATTGTAAATAAAACATGTAAAGTACTGAAAAAAAAATCATAAAAAACGTTTTAATAACAAGCTTTTATGTACTAATGCACTAAAAAGTAGAAAATAAATTATACACTACTATTTAAATTACTATAAAGAAAAGCGTGGGTCACTTTATAGTATCTATTGGATACCTTTACTAATGTTAAGGAAGACACCCACGCTTTTCTTTATAGTAATTTAAATAGTAGTGTATAATTTATTTTCTACTTTTTAGTGCATTAGTACATAAAAGCTTGTTATTAAAACGTTTTTATGATTTTTTTTTTAATACTTAAACTTTTTAAAATAGAATAAAATCTCGAGGAAAAAGACTTGCACATCAAGTGAACACCAAATAAAGATGTGCATAATAGTGCGCAATATTATTAGTACTTTATAAATTTACATGCGTTTCTTGAGAAATTGGAAATAGCGTAAATTACTACTTCCGGTCAACGGAAATTACTCAAAAATTGAAAGAAGGTAGAGAATTATCATTTACTTACATGTGAAATTTTATGTGTCTATCTGAAATAGTACTCAAGTTATAGGCTTTTGAAAAAAAATCAAAGTAAAAAAAGTACCATTTCCGGTTATCGGAAATCGCTCAAAAGTTGATACGGATCTACGATTTTGATAAAATACATATATATGAAATTTCATCAACCTAGCTGTAACGGTACTCAAATTGCCGTGTTTACACACACACACACACAGACAGACACACAGACATACGGACAAGATTGTAAAATTATGTTTTTCCGTATCAGTGAGGTGTAAAACGTCGAGATTTGTAAAAATCTCGATTTTTTTGTGCACGATTTCAAGACTTTCTCAATACTTCGTATATACGAGAAAGTAAAAACAATAACACAACCGTTTCCTTTCTCAAAACAATGTCAACCCTCTAGCCCCCATTTCCCAATCACTATATCTACTAGCGCTATGTTCGCTGAGGTGTGAAGACCATTGAACTTTGTCTAGATAAAGAAATCGCCGGCCGGCCAAAGCTCGTGATTTCTCCCGTCATTAAGCACAGCCTAATGGTTTTGTAATCTGGAAACTAATCGGGCGTTTTCAGTCGCTGATTTAAGGGCTGTCCCAATGAAAATTTTACGATGTTATAAAAAACATTTTAACAAAAACACGCCGTTATTGAAGATGCGCGTCATATCTGGAAATCAATATAAAATGGAGTTTTTTTTAAGGGCTTGCGGCAAATATGATTTTAATATAATTTGTTAATTATTCCTTCCTAAGAATAATTGGCAGTATCATAAAGTTAAATATAAATTGTTTTTAGATACTGGTCAAAATCTGCATTTTGTGAAACAAACGCTCAAAGAACATACATGTTTTTTTAATATTATACTAGTTAGTTGTTGTTTTTGAAGTACACCAAGAACTCAAAACCTGTACAAAAATAATTCGAGGATTAAAGCTTTTACAATGTTTTTCTTGTTGCATCATTGTTTTCAGCTTAATTAGTTTATTCCGTTTTTCTTATTGATTTTATCATTTACAAGATCATTTATTCATGAAGCGATGTTTAAAAAAATAATTTTCTTGTCATAGATTTAAACATTAACTTTTACATGTATTTTTCAAGTAATGTATTATTTTTTAAAAGGGATGAAAGCGATGTTTTCATTCTTGAGATGTCCTATTTTTCACAGTATACAAGTTCATACTTTTTAGCGCAATTTCCTTACAGGAATTGCGATTATTAACTCGTCATTTCTGGATGGATGTGTGTCCCCAGCTTTAACTCGTATCTCCTCCTCAACGAAGCAATCTCGAGGACTAGTTCCAAAGCAAATATGTTAAGCAAGTTCCGAGGATGATTGTGGGCCAAAAAAATTCCCGGAATTCCTTCCTGGATTTCCCGGAAAAGCCAAAAAAAACTCGAAAAAAATGCAGTTTTTGGCCCATATCTCGGCAACCAGACCACTTAGCGACTTGAAACATTTACCAATCGATTTCTGCCATAATTTAGAACAATATTGCCGAAGACAGTTTTCAAAAATAGCCTTTCGTTTGTTCACAAAAATTAATTAATGAAATTGCGCTTAAATTGTCACTAGACTTTTTATTAACTTGTTTTTGTAACAGTGTCATCACTTTTTTTAATTTTAAAAAACACATCACTATCTTTGTTTTTAGAGCGCTATGTTTCTCCCTGGTATGATAGTTTTCAACGTATATCAACTCATTTATTTTCTTCCCTGCATTAAAATCTCGAAGTTACGAAATCTGAAAAGACCGAAAACTCCGAGTAGTTTCCCCCATTCATCATGGCCTGGACTTGTACGCCGTCCAGCACTCAGATCAGGGCCAACTTCTGAGACGTTCGCTGAACCTAATCGCCCTCGTGAATGGCCTACTACTTCTCTCGCTTAATTCGCTCGCGCTTTCTGCGACGCTTCAAACCGGCTTAATCCAAACTGGATGTACTCGCCCCCCATCGCACGAGCGTTCAGAAGATATTTAATTCTATCGCTTGGCGTCACCCTGGCTTCTGTGGTCAATATAGATATACGCAGAAACAGGTCAAGGTCGAACCGTTGGGGGGACGGGGAATAAAAGTATTTACATTAAACAGATCACACGACTGGGCAGGGGTGGGTGGCGGGGTCACGTGATCGTTGGATTGTTTTCTGCCTGGGTGGGTGTGGGTTGGGGGTGGGTTGGGGGTGGGTTAGGGGATTAATTGTCTCTAGCAGTTTGTTATTCTCTGTGCCTCTGAGGTTTGGGAGAACGTAATTGTGCGTGTTTGTGGTGGTTTGTTTGTGGATGTGTATGTGTTAGGTTTTTGATGTGTGGGGTGTATGCATGTATGCCTGTGCTTGAGAGAGAAAAGCGTGATGTTTATGAACTGAACTTTATCCTAATGTAACAGTCTAGAACTGACTGTGTTGTAACTGTTACGGTCCAGAATTGCCCATATCAACACATTGACGGTCAAGAACTGACCACATTCTCTGAAGGACAACTAACAGCTGACCATATGACTACTGTATAGGACCAGAACTTGTCACCATGACACCATAAAAGACCACACCAGACCACATTCGTACTACGTGATCTAGACAAAAAGAAAAAAAAACATAACCCAGGCAATATATCGTCACGTGATTAGGGTCACGTGGTGACGTCAGTCAACAAACGTGATTTTATAAACCGAGTTAAGGTTAAATTAGGGCATCTTTCTGTAGCCCGCGGCACTGAATGTCCCATGCGGTGTGTAGAATGAATAAGTTGAGATTGACATTCGATTTAGGAACCAGTTATATAGAAAAGACTCGACAAACTGTACCATCTAATAGAGATTTTTACAGTACCTTAATGCATTTATTTTTCTTTTTGAATAAGATTTTTATAAAAATTCCGAAATTTAAATAAATAAATAAATAAATAAAAAACAACTAAATTTAAAAGGCATGTCGGCCTATTTGTGCACATTTTAAATAATAGAACAATACTGGTGACCATTTTTAGAATCAGTTTTAATAGAAATAGCAGATTCGTGATCGTATATGCCTTATGTTTTTATATGTTGAATTTGCTATTTGAGTATTACAATCTGATGTTGCTGCTTGTTTTTTTATTTAGCTTGTAAAAATTGAGTATCATAATGAAAGCTATCTTGTAATTATAAATATATATATATATATATATATATATATATATATATATATATATATATATATATATATATATATATATATATATATATATATAGTTTCTACAATTTGAGTATTAAAACCTGAGGTTACGGGTTGCTATTTTATGCAGCTTGTTTAATTTCGGAGTTAGCTAGGCTGCTGACACGAATGCTATGAGATTGAGTCCGATTTCACGACAGTAGACCGTCCCTGAGTTCACCCAGTCCAAATGTGGGCTGGATATATTGCTGACCACACTATCCCTTCATATGCCGAGGTCACAGAAACTGTAGAACCCTAATTAAGGGCAGGTTAAACCCCCAAATTGAAAAATGCACATACATTAATTCAAATGTGTTTATATATGTTTGGATAGGTACTGTATTGATAAAAAACATTAATAAACCCACCTTAAAGTATAATTCTGGAAAAAAATTAATGTTTTATGGTCAAAATGGGCTAAAATCACCCAAAAAGTTATTGTTAGTAATGTCAAGATGATTTAAGTTCTACTTAAGATATTAAAAAACAAATTATCAAGCCTTGAAGCTTTACTTAAAATACACAATCTGAACTATAATTATTTAAAACCAATAAAAACTTTTTTTTTTATGAATTTTTACCCAAGTGACTATAATTTTTCAAAAAAGTAGTAGGGGTAGGGATATGTTCACAAGTCATAACTTTTAAACTCTAATAGCAAACTGCATAAAAATAGCATGTTTGGTGCACACTTGGGAGAGGAACAATGTCTGAAAGTTTGATAGCTAAAGCTTAAATAGTTTTTGAATAATCTTGACATCCGTGTCAAAAATATACCAAAAATTCATATTTTGAGAAAATTAAGAAAAACTGAAAGATTTGACAAATTCTGATTACTAAATTGAACCTAAAAGCCCCCAGGTATATATATATCATCTATGTGATCATCTGCATTAGTTACTCTAGTTTTTGAGCTCTTGGACATACAATTCTGGTTTTGTTGGACACTCAATGAAGACATAATTCTCTTTTTATCCGAAGCTCGAAATGACGCCTCGGCATAAAAACCACAATCTAAGCCTAAAAGTTTAAAAACTTCTCTGCGACCCAACTCCCCTTGATTATAAACAATAGTAGCATCATGTACAGCTATTTCCAACCTCTTTTTTCCTACAAAGACTGTCTTTGGACACCTCTTCCAAATTAAATTGTGAAAAGATTCATTCGCATTCTGTGTACCGCCGTGCAAACACTTCTCTAATAAAGCATTGGATGAGAGGATCTCAAATACTGGTTTAATTTCATCTGTTACAAATTTAGGTAGCTTATTCTTATTTGCTTTATCCAAGTCCTTTTGTCCAATACACCACTTTCCACAATCATCATGTACACCTGTCCTATGTTTCCAAATAGCCCAAACAGCCTTTTTCATTGCAACAATATTACCTGCATTTTTTCTAATAGCACCACCATAATGACCCTGTATTCTCTTAATTGCTGATTGTGTAAGCCTACCTGCTCCTCCTATACCTTTATATTGCTTTCCATTCTCTTTATAAAGTTTTCCTTTGCATTCACTTACCTTGTCCATCAATCTGCGCCCCATGCGCTTTTGGACATGTCCGCAACATTCATACTTAGTGATACTCTTACCTGTATAAATTTCTGGGTCTGCATCTGCAACAGTTTTATAACTTTTGGAATCACCATCCCCTAGATAACCTACATAATTTAATCCATACTTTTCCTGTGACCGTTGAAATATTTTAAGAATTCCTTGCGGCTCCATCGCTCCTGCGGTTCCAACATGATTTTGCTCACACTCTTCTGCATGCTTTTCTTTCCATATCAAGAACTGTTCAGGGGAAAGCTTCTTTTTGCTCTTGGAACACTTATCACAGTAGCTGCTACTTGTAAAAGTATCAATAACTTTAGGAGGACCTTTAGGATTGACAGACAAGACAGTGGATACTCCATTTTTAGATACAAAGCCGCGTCTCTGCCAAGTGCCATCACAAGATACTGTGACATCTTCAGACAATTGAGAACTTCTAAGCTCTGATGCTGCTTCTTCTTGTACAGTGTTAGCAACTATTGCTGTAGCATTATGTATCCTACTTTTAAAATGATTGCTGCGAGTTACACTAACAGGAGGGGGCATATTCATATTACCTAATAATTTCTTACCTTGCTCATAGTGGCAACCTATTGAGTACATTGATAACTGAAATCTTAAGTTAATATTCTCATTAGAACTATTTAAAGTAAATGTTTCCTTACATTTTATACAAGAAAAGGAAACTTTGCAGGACAATCCACAATTATTTTCAGTTAAATCAAAACCACAATGCTCCTCACAAGAGGGACATGGAAATACTCTCATAAAGTTAACTAAATTTTGGAGATCAAATAACCTGTAACCTGTATTGCTATCAGAATAAGAATTTTCAACATTTACACTTGAGTTTAATTTCATAAAAGATGTATTTGTACTTATCTGTTCAGCATCCCCATGGCTACTTTCATTATCAATATCCTGGACAACATCTTCAATCACAGACTCTGTGACAGAGCTACTTTCATTTTCCTTATCACAATCACCATCGAACTTTAACTTTTTAAAATACATATTACCGTGAAATTTTCTCTTCTTTGGACGATCATTACGTTGTTTTGCCTTTTTCCCCATTTTTTTAATGCTTAGCTAGAATTATAGACTAACACAAGATGTAAACAACACAAAATTATGTGCTAACTGTATGAAGATATCCAGTCAACAGGAAAGCACATGTGAAATTTGTAAACAAAATGGCTGCCAAACGATTTTGTAAGAAAGCCTCTGATTGGTTGAAATTCAAATAAACTAAATATTTTAGCCTGTAACAACCAATGAAATCCATGTTAACAACGAAAATAGTAGTATTAAAAACTTGTACAGTGGTAGAGCTAAATATCATAAAACCGAAAAAATTTTTAAAATCGGATAATTAGTGAGGAAACTGTTGGGATTTTAAATTTAGGCCTATTTTAAAGAGCAAAAGTAAACAAAAGTGACCCTTTTAAAAAATTAATTTAAAATATATCTGATTGTTATCTTTGAAATATTGTTTGTTATTCTTATTCAGAAATGAATATAGTTTATATTTCAATCAAAAAGTCATATGTCAAATTTTTCAAGAAAAATATAATTTTTGCTACTTTAACCTGCCCTTAACTAATTAACTTACGCCATAGACCGTCAGGTTTAGAGGGGGAATTTTTACTTTACTTTTACTTGTTTGATTTCAGTTTCAATATGAGAGGTAACCTTTTTTTACGTGGCTTTTACTTGTAAAGTCTTAAAACCTATAAGTAAATGTGGCCAGAGGCGTAGCGAACCTTCCCGGGTCGATTTGCACCCCCCCCCCCCCGTCAAACTCGATTTGCACCCCCCTCCTTCAAACTTTAGATTTGCACCCCCCTCAAGATTTTGATTTGCACCCCCCTCAACCTTTCAATTTATTTTTCCAACCCATTTTAAAGCCCCCTAAGGTTTGCGCCCGGAGACATGTGTCCCCCCCCCCCCTCGCTACGCCTCTGAATATGGCTTTCACTATTGAATATACCATGTCTCGAATATTTTATGTGATATTCCCACTTAATTAATAATTAAAAAAAACAATTTTTCATATGCTTATTTTTTCACTAGCACAAACAAAAGAAAAAAAAAATGGGTGTGTCGGTAACGTAATAATTTGCTAGCAAATGAAAAAAAAAGATATTTTGACGTTGACGCAAGAATTTTAATTTCTACAAGGCTATTAGATTATTAAAGTTTCATAGCAGACGCGCTTTTGTTAACGTCTGTATCTTTTTCTTCAGAGTTTTTGAAACCCGTAATTTAGGAAAAAGTTCTTCCATCAATGTAACTTTCAATTTTTTTTAAATGTTTGATTACACAATATTAAAAAAAAAAAAAAAAAAAAAAACTAAAGAAAAAAAAACTTTCATCTTAACAAACAAAACAAAAAATTTAATCCTCCAAGAGCCAATTTAAAACAATTTTTTGCGTTGCGTATTCTCTAAAGAGTTTTGTTTTTTATTTTAAATCTTAACAAATTTTCTGAAATCGGAAAAAAAGATATTCTTTGAATGAATGTATAGATTTCTGCTATATATACATACAAAGAAAATATTGGGCGTGTAAGGCACACTCTAACACACACACACACATATATATATATATATGTTACGGTCAAAGCCCGAAGTGCGACCAAAGCGCGGATTGGCCGGCCAATCCGCGCATTGGCCGGCTCTCTTGGCCAAAGCCCGAAAAACTTAGCACTAAGATCTTATTTCGTACATTGGCCGGCCAATGCGCGCACTGGCCGGGACGTACTGGCCAAAGTCCGAAGCGGCTAAACTTGACAGCATATTTTGTAAATTGGCCGGCCAATGCGCGCACTGGCCGGGATGTCCTGGCCAATGTTCTATCTAGACTAAGTTGTGATCGCATTTTCATTATTCTGGGTGCGTTTTCATTTAGAGTAACGTATTGTTTAGCTCTTGTTTGTATAGCATTCAATATGCAAGGTGACATGGATCAAAAGGGCCGTCAGACCATGAGACAGACATAGCAGATGGCTGTCAAAAGAAAAAAAAATGTAAATCCATGTTAGTTTCCATATATGGGCTCTCGATAAAATAGTTAGTGAGGAAGATCTTGAGAACATAGAACAAAAAAAGGAGGTTGCCATAAATGCAACGACATCCTCAGCTAACACATCTACTGCCGTGGCGGAACGCCCAGACCAGTTGCGTGACAATAATGTGGCCAACAGATTCTATATAGTTTGTGAAAAACATTGTAGTGCTGCTCATTCTTTTGGATCCTGTGGCAACGATGTCCATGCTATTTGTGGAATACCCAATGAAGCAGACGAAGGGTACGGAGGGAACATTACCTGCAGATTGTGTCACAACAAACAAGACATCATGGAACACAGATCAGCAGCTCATACTGGCTTGCAAACTCAAGGTGCTAAGATGCTTAGAACATCAAATACAAAATTTAAAGATGGTGAAGTGGGTGACAATGTACGCATCCGTTTTCCAGATGTTGACAGAGGTCACGGTGATCCCCGAAACGTGATTGCAGTTGTCATGAGCGTCGAGGGCGGTTTCTACAAATTAGGAACGGAACATGGTGTTCTAAAACAACTGTATGCTAGAAGTGAGTTTTCAATTCTTCACGAAAAACTGCTCTTATTGTCGTCAGTTGGCACTGAGGAAAAATCACTACGAACCACCGCGTCTTCACAATCATTGACTGGGGGCCAAGGCTACACTCGCTGCAATTGCACAACTAAGTGCACAACAAATCGCTGCAAGTGTAGAAATAACAAGCTGCTATGTAATTCTAAATGCCATAAACGTTCAACTTGTAACAAATGATGATATTGTTAGATTGAGACTATAGTACAATAAAAAATTTGAATGTTTCTGTAATTTACTTTAATTAATAATCAATAAAGACTTCATTTCATGATCCTTACGGCATAAAAAAAAAAAAAATCTGCTCATGATCTTCTAATTCGAACTTTGGCCGGTCGTCCCTAGCCAGATGATCTTCTAATTAAGACTTTGGCCAGTCCATCATGGCCAGTCTGCGGATTGGCCGGCCAAAGGCCGAAATCAAGCAAAGTTTCGGACTTTGACCGACCTATGGGAGGCGATATTGGCCTATGCGTGGATTGGCCGGCCAATCCTAGGATTGGCCGACTTCGGGCTTTGACCGTAACATATATATATATATATATATATATATATATATATATATATATATATATATATATATATATATATGTGTGTGTGTGTTTGTGTGTGTGTGTGTGTGTGTATAAACATACATGTGTGTGAGTATTTTTATTTGATTGATGTATTGTTACCTAATTTAAACTTGTTATACTCTGATGGGACTTATTACTCACATTTACATTTTTTCTTAGGAATCGTGTTGTAATTTGCAATAATTTAAAAAAAAAACAACTAATTTATTTGAACTTTAGTTTCGCACTGATTGGCCCCATTCAAACACGGTTGTCATGGTAACAGCGTCCCAGACAGACTGGAACCAGGCATTAATTTAGTAATGGATGTAAATAATTTGTTTGCGTGCGCAGAGCTCTGGCTCCAAAGGTGTCACGTGTGAGATAAATGGCACGAGTTTGTTTGTTTGACGGTGTCGCTAATTACCGTAAACTTCCAAAAAAAAAAAAAAAACGCCAAACAATTTAAACTTGCATGATGAATTATTATTTGTTAAATATTTTTTGTTTTTAAATTTAGGCCTCTTTTTTTTTTGCAAAATGTCAAAAATTATCTAAAGGTGTCCTGGCCATATGTGGTGTGTCCAGGGCCTCTTCCCTGGCCACCATTCTGTCCTACACGGACACATTTAACGAGCTTTTGATTAATTTTTTTTAAAGAATTTATTTTATTTAAAGTTTTTTTTTCTTTTTTTTTTTTCTTGCAGTGTGTCAACATTTATCAAAAGGTGTCCTGGCCATATTCGGTGTGTCCAGAGCCTCCTCCCTGGCCACTATCCAGTCCTACACAGACACAATTAACGAGATCTGAATTAATGTATTTAAATAATTTATTTTTATTTTAATGTTTTTGCTTTTTGTTTCTTGCAGTGTGTCAACATTTATCTAAAGGTGTCCTGGCCATATTCGGTGTGTCCAGAGCCTCCGCTCTGGCCACTACCCAGTCCTACACGGACACATTTAACGTGCTCTTTATTTAATTTATTTAAAGAATTTTTTTTTTTTAATTTTAAAATTATTGTTTTTTTTCTTGCAGTGTGTCAACATTTATCTAAAGGTGTCCTGGCCATATTCGGTGTGTCCAGAGCCTCCTCCCTGGCCACTATCCAGTCCTACACGGACACATTTAACGTGCCTTTTGTGACGATCAGCCTAGCTCACAACAACAGCAACAGGGGCGCCTACCAGATCTACATGAAGCCCTTGGCCATCAACGCCCTCGTGGACGTCATCTTTCACTACAAGTGGGATAAGGTGGATGTGTACTACGACTCGGATGAAGGTGGGGGTGTAACTTTGCTTGCCAAATTGATGGTTTATGTTTTGATATTATAAATGAATAATTATTACAGTTTATTACACAACGGTGCATTCAATAAAAACAAAAATAAAATTACAATGATTAATACAATTAAAGCTAAAAAAATTAATTAAAAAGAAGTTAACTCCCATGTGGCTGAAAAGTATAAATAATAGCAATCAAGGGAAATAAATGGTAAGAAATAGTTACAATAGCAAGTGAATTATTTGCATTTCTTTATATAGGAATAAAAATTAAAATTTTCAGCAAACAATAATTGTAAAATTATTGTTTATGTGGTTAAAGATATTGTGTAAATTGTCGTCGTATGGTACATTTTATTTTGTGACACAAACTATGGACACAACGTTTAAAATGTTACTGTATATTTTTGGTTTATTTTAGGTCAACTCAGAAAATGCTTTGATAGTGAAATTTTCACAAGATCTAGATCTTCTAAAACTAAATGAATTTAATTAAAATAAAAAAAAAAAAAAAAAAAAAAAAAAACTAAATGAATTTAATTGTCACATGAACCAGGGGTCGGCAACCTGCGGCTCGCGAGCCGCATGCAGATCCCTTGGTGCTCAGTTACGGCTCTTCAGCTCCATGCACAAATATTAATAACGAGAAAAATGGCCCGTTGAGGAAGGGTACAACGGGCGCTAGGCTGATAGTGCTGTCTCTTTTCTCTAAACTAAAACCAAGCCACCCCCACCCCCACCCCCCACCCCCCACCCCCCACACACACCACCCCCTCCACACACCGCCCCCCCCCCCCCAAAAAAAAAAGAAACATGTCTACCGTCCCATTCAACGAAATATAATTATATACTTTTTCCAGTGTCCGCCCCCTACCAGAAAATTCTACCCCCGCCCCCGAAAATTTCAAGTACCCCCACCCCTCTCCGGGGAGGAAAAAAGTCTGAAAGAAACACTGAAACCAACCCCCCCCCCCCCCCCCCCCCACACATCTCAACACAAATTCAAATGAGATTATTTCATATATTCAAAGCTATTTATTTTAAATTATATATATATAGTATGATATTTGTTTAGGATTATATATATATATATATATATATATATATATATATATATATATATATATATATATATATATATATATATATATATATATATATATATATATATATATATATATAGTCCTAAACAAATATATTATTGACATAAAAATGTTAGTGGCTCTTTAAAAACCGGGTAATGTTGTAAGTTGCAACTTTTGGCTCTTTCGGCTCAAAAGGTTGCCGACCCCTGCTTAACGTCAATGTTGAACATATTATTAAAAAAAATTAAAAACAAACAAAATACATAACTCAATATACATACAAAAAGAAATAAGTAGAATACATTTAGAAAAGATTCACCGACTCTACTAAGTAGAACGCTTCTTCACTCTTGACTTTGGATTCAGTTTAGCCATTTAAAGCAGATAATAAATGAGGATAACTACAACATACAAATTATAATTATGCAATATAAATACTATTTTATTTTATTTTTTATACTAGCCGTCCCGGCCAGGCCCTGCTCTGGCTTCTGTGAAAAACTTTTCTGTTAAAGACCATTACCTGTGTGTTTAGTAATCATCATAAACCCGGCATTTCCCACCCAAACCACAACCAACCAAAACCAAAACAACAAAACGCAAACACATGGCTAACACAATTACAAATACAAACGAAAACAAAAACTTAACAACAAACACAACCACACCCACAAACACCAATACAAACACAAAGAAAAAACAAACAAAAAAGCAAACGAAAACAAAAACCTAACAACAAACCCAACCACAAACACCAATACCAACAAAAAAAAAAATCAACGAAAAAAGCAAACGAAAACAAACCAAATCCAAACGCAAAACCAACCAAAAACACAAATACAAACCCAAACAAAAAAAACACAAACAAAAACGAAAAAAGAAAGAACAAAAACGAACCAAATTAAAACGCAACCACTAACGCAAACCCACCTAAACACAAAGAAAACACTAACGCGAACATAAACGCCCGGGGCGGAATCACCTGTTTTAGCTTAATGAACGACTATAGTACCCCAACTTATTCACAGTCTTTTGCACTCACTTAAACGAACGCGCCTGTTTCAATTTAATAAACAATTTTAATACTCCAAGCTTATCCGTAAAATACCTACAACATTTGCACTTGATCAATCCCCGCTAATTATGTAATTATTTTTTTTCCCAACACCAAAACAAAGTAATTAAAAAGTAAATTATTTTCACGGAATGCAATGGTTTTATAAAGGGAAGTAATTGTGTTTTTCCTAATTTATCAAAGGGAAGTAAGTGCTATAGGACTAAATAAAGACATAATTAGAATTTTTGTAAAAGATGATATTTTTTTTAAAACTTGTGTTTAATGAACATGCCGACAATTATTACTATAATTTGAAAAATGAAAATTATTTCCCAACACTTTCAATAGTAATTTTTTAGCTCATAAATTTAGACAAATGCGCACGATAATTTTCTAACTTTTAAATTCGTACAATTCCAACGACATACAAATGCATTACATACAGAACTGAGCTTTATATATGTAACGAGCGAACAGTTACCCTGCTCGCAACGCCACATGTTACGAGACTATTTGCCTGTAGTGCCAAATGTAACGAGTTTAACCACTCATTCTACACAACAACGACTACAGTAGAAATACTCGAAGATGAAGGTTCGCTATTGATCCTTTTATTACATGAATCAAGAAATGCTTCAAAATAACACAATGAATCAACAGGAATGCTTCACAATAATAGTCTGAATCAACTGACCCCTAACAGTCCTCACTAGGCTTCATATAACTGAATCCACATGTCTATCGTCCTTCTTAACCCAAGACGGCTAACCCGTTCTATAACCAACTGTCACACAGACTGACTGATCTAAAGCGAGCGATCGAAAGAGAGAGAGAGCTCAGCCGTCCCCTCCTATTTATCCCTTGTATTCGTACTCGTATTCGTACTTGTATTCCTCCGTAATCGATATTTGTAATCGATGTCTCCGACTACTAGTTGCGCAGTTCTAACGTACAGTCCGATTAATAAAACATCTGCATCCTATCCATCAAAGTTGACAGGCCGTCTGAATCCCCTCGTACCGTTTCCCAAAATAGCACGCGTTGGCTTTGAGATTGTTATCAGTCCGATTTAATAAGCCACCTGCTATCAGTTGCATCAGACTGTAATACTGCGTCGCGGCTTATCGTTCGTTATCAGTTGCATCAGATTGTAACTAGTAGTTAGGCCTACCCTAGTTACATCCACCCCTGCCTTTTTTTGTGTGTTTTCAACCACAAACAACGCTTGGCAGGTGCATTCCTCCAAAGTCAATCGCACCATCGTAAAAAAAATTTATTGTTCCACTCACTGTCCACGTCGTCCCATTCGTATACGATTGACAGTTATACCTATTTCACATATCAACTGTGTCTACATCATCTTCCTGAGACACAAAACAGTTCTAGAATTCACATCCATCCTTTCCATTTGGTGCCTTCACCAGTTCACTTCTATAGCTTTTTGAACAGTCAGTTCTCATACCAGCGCGACCATGAAAGAATTGATGGTTGCTGACAAAAAATTTCGTCTTCCTTCTGTTCCTCAAACTTCTCCGCGGACCACTTATCTGATGGTCTACTGTCTCTCTGCTTCTGGGAGGAACGGGATCCTCTTTGTTACCGTTATCCTCCACTTGTGTATCGCTGTTGTTCTGTTGATGGTGATATGGTTTCGGGATGGGTATGTGAATTTCCGTTGTAACTTCCGGTTCCCTAATTGTCTTAGGTTTCTCTGTGTGTAACTGCTCTTCTTGCCTATTCCAATATTTCTTTAATTGAGCAATGTTCGCCCACCGATCCGGTTTGGCGTGATCGATGGGTCTTATCTTAAAGGGGCCACCTGCTACTTTAGGCATCTCCACGACTTGCCATATTTCCTGTCCCCAGAGGTCGTGGATCTTATTTCTGCCTAACGGGTGGCTACGCAGTAATACCCTGTCGTTCAGTTTGAGTGGCGGGTCCTTTGTCTGTACCGGCGGTTCCCTTCGCCGAGATTCATGTTCTAGTCTTTCCTGTACTACCCTGTACATTTCTCTAATTCTTCTCATATGTTCATTCACATATTCCAGTGCGGTGTATGAGCCAGTCATACTCTCCCTTTTTCCTAGGAACAAATCAAGAGGGAGTCGAGCCTCCCGTCCGAACAGCAACATGTGTGGCGCAAAGCCCGTTGTGGCATGGGGGGTGCAGTTGTATAGATATACCAACTCTGGGAGAAAATCCGGCCAACGTTTTTTCTGTTCAGGTTCTAGGGTACGCAGCAAATCATGCATGCTGCGGTTGAACCGCTCACACTGTCCGTTTCCTTTCGGATTAAATGTGGTTGTTCTAGATTTGTTGATCCCGTAGTGGCTGCACAGTTGGTTGATTACTTCTGACTCGAAGGCCCTTCCTTGGTCAGAGTGTAATTGTCTTGGTATGCCATATTTGATGAACCAATGTTCTATTAATACCTTTGCCACTGTTTTGGCAGTCTGATCTCGTGTGGGCACCGCCACCGTCCATTTGGTGAATACATCAGTCATTACCAACACATGTTCCGTCCCATCCGATGATTGCTCCAACGACGTAAAGTCCATAGCCACAATCTCTAGTGGTTTTGTCGCTAGTAGGTGTCCTGATGGCTGTCTCATTTTGACAACTGGCATTTTCGCATGCTGACACCTCACACAAGCCTCACAATGGCGTTTGACCTCCATTTCCATATTGGGCCAGTAACACCTCCGTCGTAATATTTTGTGCGTCCTGTCCTGACCCTGGTGTCCTGCCCTGTCATGTGCCAACCTTAGCACTTCCTCTCGTAACTGTCCAGGCACCACCACCTGGTGTATTGTCCCATCAATTTGGTCATGAATTCTCCGCATGAGAACACCATCC